ACGTAAATTTTAAAACAAATTTTTCATTTTTGCAAACATCAAAAACCATCGTTTAATATTCCAAATTCAAACGTGAACAATGTTATCATAACAAAATACATCCCATGATCATAAAAACAGTTTCTCCAACAGTGTGTACAATCACGTCGGCGCCTTCCCACGGTCCTCGCTAGTACCTGAAACACATAACACAACAACTGTAAGCATAAATGCTTAGTGAGTTCCCCAAAATACAACTTACGCACATACGCCTTTCCAGGCCCTGACCTTCCGGTCCATGTGTCTCAGGGGACTTCCGTCCCGACTAGGTAAACCTTCCGGTCCTACCTGCGTCAACCTTACGGTCCACATCACAACGCCTTCCGGCCCATATAAGCATAGCATATCATGGCACATATAAACGATTAACTTATCACATACAATGCATATAACTCATAACATATCCGACCTTCCGGTCACACAATAAAACCCTTCCGGGTACAGTATAGTGAGAAAACTCACCTCGTGGAAAGTCTAAGATCTCGCGTACTCGCTATCTCCAAATCCCAACGACGACTCTACCTCGCCTAATCATAAAAATATCATTTTAATAATCAAAGACTTCCACAACTAAACTTTACCCCTTATCATCATTCCTCAGAGGGTAAAAGACCATTTTACCCTTCCTTGACCCAAAGTCTTCATGTTGACCAAAACCCTAAAAGTCAACAAAAGTCAACCTTGAGTACGCGGGGCGTACTGCTTGATGTACGGGGCGTACATCGCCAACCCATGGATCGGGGTCTCCACCCAGTACGCTGCGCGTACTGGGAGTTACGCCCAGCGTAACCATCAGACTTTAACATACTTCATTTCTGGTCTTAATCGGTTAAGCCATTACTCCAACTTCTAGATCCGACTATTTATGCGTCTATACCCATAAAGTCGAGACCTTTAAGCCTTGGCATGGCTGTAAAGGCTCCAACACTTCTTAACATCATTCTATTCCAACTCAAGGACCTAGATCTCATGCATGGTGCAACATTCACGTCCAAGATATCATTTTTATGAGTCTACAACTCCAATAGACCAGAAATATGATGGATCTAAGCTTATGGAGACCATTTGCACAAAAAGTCTCCACCTTTGGGACTAAAACCCTAGAAAATGGTACTTGAAGCATATAACATGAACCATATGTCAAGATCCGAACTTTTTACCTGATAATGAAGCTTCAACCTTTGCAAAGCTCAGATCCACACTTGAACACCACTTCTAGCCTTCCCAATGAGCTCTTCTTCTCCTTTGCTACCTTGGAATGGCACCACCAAGCTTAGAATACTCACAAAATGGCCTAAGAACGAATGCACACTCTCTTTAGGGTTTCTCTCTGAGGGATGGTGGCTGAGAAGTCCAGCCACACATTCCTTTTATAGCCCTAAGAATGGATTAGGGTTTTTAGGACTGGACCGGTTACGCCCAGCGTACCCGAGGGTGAACGCGTCCAAATGAAGCGCGCGAGTACGCGCAGCGTACTCCTGGTACGCCCAGCATACTCGCCTAACATGCAAACCCTAAATGGCAACATAGTAAAGATGCAAGGCTAAATATAAAGATACCTGGTTTTCGGGCTGTTACAATTCTCCCCCACTAGAACCAGACTTCGTCCCCGAAGTCTCATACTGAAAACAACTCCGGATACTGATCCCGCATCTCAGACTCGGACCCCTTCCGATGTTGCCACTGCACTTGTACCAAGGGTACTTCCTTGTTCCTCAGAACCTTAACCTTCCGATCCCTGATCACCATTGGTCTCTCCACATAGTTCAGGCCTGCATCCACCTGAATATCATCTAACGACACCACTGCCGACTTGTCGGCAATACATTTCCTCAACTGCGAGACATGAAAGGTGTTATGGATCTGTCCCAACTCAGCAGGTAGATCCAACCGGTAGGCTACCCTGCCTACCCTAGCAATTACCCTGAAAGGTCCAATATACCGAGGTCCCAACTTGCCCCTCTTCCTGAATCGTATCACTCCTTTCCAAGGGGAGACCTTTAGGAGCACAAGGTCACCAACCTGAAACTCGAGCTCGGACCGATGCCTATCCGCATAACTCTTCTGGCGACTCTGCGCGGTCAATAATCTCTGTCTGACCTGCTGAATCTGCTCGGTCATCTAGAGTACAATCTCCGTGCTACCCATCACCCGCTGCCCCACCTCTCCCCAGCAGATGGGGGTGCGACACCTCCTCCCAGAGTCGTCAAAAGAGTTATGCGGACAGGCGCTGGTCTGAGCTCGAGTTTCAGGTCGGCGACTTCGTGCTCCTAAAGGTCCCTCCTTGGAAAGGAGTGATCCAATTCAGGAAGAGGGGCAAGTTGGGGCCTCAATATATTGGACCTTTCAGGGTGATCGCGAGAGTAAGCAGGGTAGCCTACCGTTTAGTGCTACCTGCGGAGTTGGTTCAGATTCACGACACTTTCCACGTGTCGCAATTAAGAAAGTGTATAGCCGACGATTCGGCAGTGGTACCATTAGAGGATATTCAAGTGGATGTGAGTTTGAACTATGTTGAGAGACCAGTGGCAATTTGATATCGGAAGATCAAGGTTCTGAGGAATAAGGAAGTGCCTCTGGTGCATGTCTAGTGGCAGCATGTGAAAGGGTCAGAGTTGACTTGGGAGCCGAAGCGCGTGAGGCGTGAGCAGCATCCAAAGTTATTTGCAGAGTGAGACTTCGAGAGCGAAGTCTGATTCTAGTGGGGGAGAACTGTAACATCCGGAATCCTAGGTATATTATTTTATTCATTTATTTTGGAGTTTGTATAGGGACTCGGCGAGTTGGTGCTTAGACTCGCCGAGTAGGGTTGCGGATTCTTATCCGGTTTCATGACCGGACTCGGCAAGTCCATGAGTGGACTCGGCGAGTGCACGCTGTTTAATGAAACCCTAACTTCACGGGTTTGGACCTATTTAAAGGCCCTTAGGGCCGTCATTTGCGGCTACCAAACCCCAGAGAGAAACCCTAAGAGATCTAGAGCGATTGTAAGGAAGGAGAGGCCACTTTTGATCATTTTGTTGGTGTGATTGCAAAAAGGAGGTGACCAAGGCAAGAGGAGGCTGAAGGAGGAGCGGTTCTGGTGATTTCAGAGTTCAGAGACTTCATCTTGAGGTACTTATTCGGACATTCTTTAGTTTTGGTGTTGATTCTAAGAGTTAGGGTTTTCTAACCCCTTTAGAGAATGG